AGGAAGAGGCTTCTGCCATCTCATACAGATGCATCTTTAAGGGAATTCAAAAGCTAGTATCCCTCCTCTAGCAACAAGCACATTGGCTTCTCTTGCATAGCAAGATATGGAGCTTTCTGAGTATGAGCTAAGGAAAATCTTTTAGGCAAACATTCATTCTTCCTGTGTGCTATTTCACTGTTAGAAATGTGTGCCTTCTAACGTGTGTCTATCATCAGCTTACAGCCAATGGATCTGGCTTCTGTACTTCTATTTTCTACATTGCAAATCACCCCTTTGTTTTGCCTAGTCGTAATAACGTTCTCTAAAGTCTCTAATTGTCAGGCTTGTTTTCTCATGACCTAAATGCTTCTGGGTTTCTTCACTGAACCGCCTCTCATTTTGCAGTATTTTTCTTGAACCTCGGATGCTAGCACTGGATGATATTCCAGTAGCAGTTGTTCTGCTGTAAGTATTAAGATAACACAGCCTCATTGTTCTGTCCTGAGACTTCCCTATTTATACATTCAGGGATATGTGTGTATGTGCATGTGTGTTGTTTTGGTTTTTTTGGGGGGGGAGGGGGAAAGATTGTGCCTTTTGAATGTTCACATTAATTTGTTCATCCACCTACCTCTTTTTGGAGTCACTGCTTCCTAGCATAGTAACTGTGTTGTTCCTGCATACACTGAAACAGTAGGTAGCTCATGCTCAGCCTAAAATCCAAGTGATACTCCTTTAAGTCTGCAGTATCTTCACAATTGCTGTTCTGTATGTTTTTTTTGTCATCTGCAAGCTTTAACTGTAGTGGCTTTTAATTGCTCATTTTACTGGGATAAACAGGGAATGAGTATCTTCAGAAGGGCTCCAGTGATATGGGAAGCAATAAAAGTGTTCTTTTTCTACCTAACAGGATACATTTAAGATCAAAACCCAGAGAGCATCTTTGGATGTTTACCTTGCTGATGGCAGCAGTATTAGACTTGATATCCAGACATCAGACACTGCAGAAAGAATATTAGAGGTAATGGGTTTCTAAACAGGAATTCTGTTGAAATTGCCTATTTGCAAGAAGTGGGCAAAAATGGAGATCCTTTTAGTTAAGGAAGGGCAAAGCCTCCTATTTGAAGGAAACACGGTATCTTCTCTGTATCTTGAGGGTTTTGGGGGGGGGGGCATTGAGAGGATTGCTGCTTTTGCACATGAGTTTATTTGTTTTTATGTTTGTTTATAATTTTATTTTTTCCTAATGGCATACACTCTGTGCGACTATGGCTTTTTGACTGTCTAGTTCAGATTTTCTTTGTTTATGACAAAATCAGAAAATACCTATTTTTCCTTTTGGGGACGTAGTCTCAAAATAAACAAACAAAACCCCTTTGTTTTAGTGCAGTTTAGGTGAAGTTACTTTAATACTGTAGCCAAAAATGTTGACCTAGTCTTGGCTTAATAAGCTGGTGCACTGTTGTTAAAACTCATTGTGTGACTGATATATCTTGTTTTTCTGCGTGCTTCTCCTTTACCTGTTCTGTGTGCCCTGATGTTTAGAGTAAAACCATGGGACTTCCTGTGCAGTACTCGCACAGTTTGAGCACTGTGGCTCTGGGGTGTCTGTAACTGCTGTTGTAATACATATAGTAAACAATTACTAGTTAAATTTTGAAACCACTAGCAACCAAATGTGGTTTACGCAACTGACTGGCTTCCATTTGAAACTGTCAACTGATTCTTTCTCCATCTCTGTGAAGGAAGAGCAGCAGTGGCTGTGTGTGTGTGCACACAGGGCAAGGCTGAAGCCTCTTTCTTGGTTGCTCTCCTTTCCTAATCTTAGCAGCAATAACAAGCAAGCAGGTACCTTCCAGGTCGGTACTCATAGTCTTCACGGCAATCTGAAATTCCTGCTCACCGTACAGAAAGCTATATAGTGTATTTGTGTTGTACCTTTGCAATCTAAATCTGGGGGTAGTTCTCAGCTGGCTGTAGGTACAAGAATGAGTACTCGCTCTCCTCCGTCAAGCTACGTGTGTTACTCCGTTTGCAGACCCTTCCTCCCCGCCCCCCAAACATGTGTCACAGTTACCGTGGCTTGGATAACACAGGGTAACCTGCCGCTCTGTGAAGGCGGCTTTGTTCTGCCATTGAGTTTGCACCACCTGAGGCAATGCTGGGACTGGTATTTCCAGGGGAAGGTAAGTCTCAGAGCTGACCTTAGACCCTACAACAGGAGGGGTGAGAGGCTGGATGTGATATGCTGAAGGAGAAAAGGGTGTGGGGGTGGCAGGGAGGTAGGAATTCTGATTTGAGGAGAAGGAAGTAAATGCTACTAGGGTGAAAGAAGGAAAGGTTTTAAATAGATTTGCTTGGAGCCCTTGAGGAAGGGAAGGATTTGCTAATATACTTTGGAAAAAATATTAATAATTTGGGCCTCACCCATTACTTTTACTTGGGATGTGCATTGTCTAAGGCCAGCATTGGTTCTTCTAGTATTAGTTCTGCAGTGCATCAAGGTCATCTCCAAGCCGGAGGCTGGCATTGTCTGTTGCTTTATCGCATTCATAGGTTTTTAAAGTTTCCATGCCCTTCAAAGAAATGACTACAGATTTGAAATACTGCAGACCCAGTTGATGGTCTGATGGTCTTGAAGATGAGATAGGACATTCAGGAGTTATTTAGCTTTCCTCATTGCAGATGTGCTGCCACTTTCATTGTTCTTTTGCAGTGCAGGTAGACTTAGCAACTGTCATTTTCTAGCATCCTGGTGTTCAGGCCAACATAAAACAGGCTGTGCCTTGAGCCAAGAAATAAAATAAGTCAAAATCTTACTGAATCTGATTTCTGTGCTTGACATTCCTGGGAAATGCCATCTGGTGCACATAGTATTATGCTACTAACATTTTAGTACCTATAACATTTTGAAGCTTGATAGCTAATTAGAAAGTAATTTGCAGGGATTTCTTAGCACAGAGGCATACAACAAGAAAGACGGTGCTGTTAATTCCTTTTTTTTGTCTTTGTTTGGCCTTCTAAAACTTTCTTCGCGTTGTACTTGGTGTTTGAGGCACTTGAGTGTGAGGCAAGTGCTTTTTATGCTCTGCTGCCCTCTCAGGTAACAGTCCTCCTACTGACAAGTAGGAGGAAAACCTTACAGATATGTTTCTTAATTTTAACTTGAAGCAATTCTTCTCAACCTATATTTAGCTCAATGTCTGCTTTTTCCATGCACAAAAACATGCCTGTGTTTTAGACCAGCTGATATAGCTGGAAAAAAGCCCTTCTCCCTATGAACTTAGTTGTGTGTTCTGTGGAGATGAGTGAATTTACAATGCTTTCACTATGATACTGACCTGGAAATGTTTAAGGGTTGGCACCTTATGGAAGGATTCTGCAAACCAGTACTTCCATGTTATGTTCAGAGGAGGGGGGGGGGGAAAAAAAAAGACCATCTTCTGTGACCAAAGCATGACTCTTCTGTCAAGTTGTGCGGCCTGCCTGATGAATTTCGACAGGGATGTTTTCAGGGATGGAGGCTTTTCTTGTGGCTGCCACACAGATTTCCTGAGCTAGCTAAGGGCATTATGATCACTGCAGAATTTGAGAATGCTCTGATGCCCCTATCCTCTTTTAGGTTGTGGCTGCTTTAACTTGCACTTTGATTTTCGGGACTGGAAACAAAATAAGACAGTTGTTGCAATCCAGTCCAGCTGTTCCATGCTCACCTCTGCCTGTTTTCTGTCCCCGCTATCCTGTTGTGCAGGATAGTCTGCTGTGTCCTGCAGATCACTTTTTTCTTCTCTGTT